TCTAAAAACTATTAATTATTTCTAATTAACATCTTCTTGAAACTAATAAGAAATTTGCGAATTTCTCCTTGAAAGGTAGATTAAAAGATAATTTATCCTACTCTGCTCGAAGAGCAACAAAAATACTTCTGGTGTTTTATAAATATATGATTTCAAATGTATTCTATTATGAGAAAAAAACGTTTGATGAGAAAGAGATGTTCAAAGAGTACGAGAATTAGCATTTATTTCACCATTTACGAAGAGACAATACGATAAGACACAAAAAGCAAAAATCTAAAAAGAGTTATTTGTTCAAATGAAAGTAAACAATGCGAATAACAACCAAAACGAGAATCGTATGCCTGATGGGTGACCTGCACCACTGTTCGGTATATTAATGATATCGCGTGAATCCACATTGCTCAACTCTTGTAGTTTACCATTACAATTATTGGTGACACAACAAGTTTTCCGCATATTATTCCCATTTATCGGTATACAGGGATTTAATGCGCCCAGAATAACCTTTTCTACTCCATTTTCATAAAACTGGTACGTCTAAAGATATACAGATTTTGTACATGTTCGTTTTTTTATACAGATTGATAGACTTACCTGGCACTGAAAATAATCAGGAAATTGTCTACTGATGGTATTTGCTTCCTCTTCTCCATCATCCCCTTCATCAAAGTTGAGAGGTAGATCACAAGGCGTCTGGATGCAAAGATAACATTTTAATGAGACAGTAGTTCGAAAAACTAAACATGAGAAAAAATCCTAGATAGTTTCTTACAATTGTCCAGATGAACCCTACCCAAGTATAAAGTCACATAATAGAGCAATACTTTCATTGTCTCCAATATTTCACGATCTTATATGCTAGCAGAAAGGTTCATGTACTTGTAAAAACGGAAAAACTTCATATTAATAACTTAAATATTGAGAAAAGTGCAAATACTTTTTTCTATACTTCCGTTTTTCTTCTTTTTTTATTCAATAATCAATTATAGATTCTCGTAACGAGATTTTGTAGTATTTGCTTGTTTGTTGGAATAAGAAATAAACATGGAAGTGTAAAGAGCCAGTGAGCGATCTGAACACGAAAGAAAAAGAGAAATTTAGTGATTTTAATAACTTTTTCCTCTTTCTATTTCAATGAATACAAAAATAGGCTTTAATTATCGGAAAATGAAATGAAGTATGTAATGTTTGTATAGAAGATAGAGACGACTTTGTGTGCAGAAACACACCACTTATTTGTTTTTCGTATTAAAGATAAACTTCAATCTGAGTGTTTATTCTAGTATGAAGAGGAAAAATAGAAAGGATACCGCGCTTTATATGGCGCTACCGTCATCGGTGTATATTGCTGACAAGTGTCAGTTTTAATAGACTGATATCTTCACTACGGTTGACAAGCTTCTGACATGGTCACTCATATCATTATTAGTCAACAACTGCAGCTATGACCAGTCTTGGTGCAAACATTCACTAACCATGTACTAACTTTTCGAAAAGCCACAAAGACTAATAGGACAAACTGTATTTTGTGTCGCAATGTTCATTCTGTTCAAACTATAGAATAAAAGAGAAGCATATCAGGTTCTAAGTCTACTTCGTTCGAATAAAACGTTTTCCGACAATCTTTGGAAATAGTCGGAAACGGTTTTGCGGTTTGCAGACCCAAAAAGGTAGAAATATAGGTAATCGACTGTCCTGAACATCGTAGCATTGTTAGTTTCACACAAAAAAGAGTTTTCAGTGTGTTTGCGACAGTAAAATTCTTTATTTGAGCTCTGTATTGACATACAATAGCTTGTAGCGCTTAGCCAAGCTATATAACTTCTAATCAAGGACGATACACGTGCGCACATCTGTAGTATGAGTTTGCTTAGATCTAGATTTAAAAAAGACACTTCGGACTACTTATCTATCGAAAAAGATCGATCACAGAAACAGGATCTTTCGAAGAGTTTCAAAACTAGTTTTTTCATAGTGAAAGTCGCCTTTCGACGCTGAATTCAAATATGTCATTAAAAATGTTTCATGTCTTAAGAGTGATTTTTAAAAATCGTTTTAAGAAGTACAAGTAACCCCAAAACCCCGGTTTTCTAGGAAACCCTGCTTCTGAGAGTTTTAGAGAAAACTTTCTAGAGAAGGAAAGAGGACGTTGAAAAACCCTTAAGCGCCGAGTTTCATCAAGTTTGGTTCAGTGATTATCGAGACCAACTTTCTCATATAACACGCTTATTTCATTATTTCTGAATGAAAACGAGGAGAGTTTTTCTACGATTGTAGAAAAAAATATTTTGCATCTTTTTATCAGCGCAATTTTTTTGTGAGAGCTATTCTTCGAGTAGAAACTGATTTCCAAGAAACTTCTAGCTTTCTGGCTATTTTACATGGTCGTTTTCATTTACCCCACTAACTTTCACATACGTACATAAAGTATTAATTAGTATCATTGGCTTAACAAGAAAACTGTTTTTCACTAATGAATTATTCCCCGTGTAAAATACATGGCGTATCCAATTACCCCATCAGTTTCTATTGTTGTTTCCAATTGCCCCGAGTGCGGTAATTGCAAATTTTCGTTAGAACTTTCAGCAAAACACCGGGAAGTTCGCCTGGAACACGGAGTTTTTGACAATTTTTAGATAGCCTTATAGAGAACTTCCTCCTCTACCTGCGTGTAAAAAGGGCGCAAAAAGATAATTATAATTAACAAATTTATACGAATTAGAAGTCCAAAGAGCAAAAAATCATTTCCAATTACCCCAGTTTACTCTATTCTTGCATAAACTCACCCTTTATGAAACGCTATGATGTCTATTTTGGCCAGTTCGAAATTGTTTCTCGTTCTTAATCTTCTTAAGCGCTTTATACTTGTTGTTGTATAAAATATCGCTCAATCCATCGCAGCTGATGGTGACAGTGACGCGTTTTAGCTGTTTGACATGTGGCAGAAACTGTAATAGATATTAAATGGATTCACTATTACATAAAATAGAACAAGACAGTATCTCCTCATGAAACATTTGGCTCAAATAGAATGAATCACCTCCAATAAACAAAGTTATTACTTTATCAATATATTTAAAAAGGTGACTTTAATTCCACTAAAAAGAAGTAAAAAGCGATTAGTCAATTATATTATTGTTGATAATAAGAGATACACCACCTTTTTCATCATGAAAATCGACTATTTTCGACGTTTCGTCTTTATTAAAAATAAATGCTATTTAGGATG